TTCCTGCTGGGTCACCTCTAGGGTTCGATGGAGCACCTGTGACTCTCTCTTCTGTGCACTTTCTGCTGTTGGTAGGTAACCGCTTTCGGAGCCACGCAGGTGGGAGGATGTCGAGCACAGCTCCATCGAAGAAGCCTTACCGCAAGGCTCCCCCGCAGCATCGTGAGATCCGCCATGAGGTACCCATCATTCGTGATGACCAGGATGGAGTGATCTTGGCCGAGCAGAGTCAGGTAACGGCTTGCCGGGTGGCAAAGGGCTTAACACCATTTCACCAGCAAACAGGGTTTAGTTACACCGAGGCAGGCCAGCTCAAGCAGGCAGAGGGGTTTGAGGTTTGCAACCTGAACTTCTCCTCATCGTGGTCCCTGGAGTCCAGCAGTGAGAAGGAAGTGACAGGGTGCAGAGCAGAGTTGAACATCAAGAGCCAGACTATCTCACCAGCACTTCCACGTGGTGGGAAGATGGGGCAGCGAAGTGGGAAGCGGTGCTCAAACCGCAGTCGTGGGCACCTCGGCAAATTTGTGAGCCGTAGCATGGAGACAGTTGTGGTGTCTGGAGATGAAAGACACCATCCCACTTGCTCTTTCAAGAGCAGAAGCCTGGAACGCTCGCTTATGTTTAAAGAGCCTCCTGAAGTCCTGACACCGAGGAAGTTTCGGGTCTCCTCTACACACCTGCCTCTCAAAGGGATCCTGAAGCAGACCAACATGACAGGCCCGTGCCCTGAGAGCTTACGCAAGTCCCGCTCAGTAGAGACGCTTTCCCGTGGCCATGGCTCACGGAAGTACAGTGATCCTCAGCTCTGCCTCAGCCATAGAGAGAAGCACTCACTGGAGCACAGCAGCAGCAGTGCAGCTGACTCTATCAAGCGCAGGGAGAAGATCACAGAGGAAAAACTGCAGTTCTCCAAATTCCTGGACGAGATTACCCAGCGGGTGCTGAGTCCCATCCGCTTGCGCTCACTGGGAGAGACCAGAGGAGCAGAACAAAACCAGAACTCTCCCCTTTTCCCCAGAAGCTCCATGACAGAAGGCCAAGGGGAAGGTCACCTGCAAGGGGTCAAAATCAAGCGTGCAACTGAAAGATCCCCCTGCCCAAGCAGAAGAAAAGCAGAAAAGAAATGTGAGGGGCTGGGAATGGCTTCGTGCCAGAGAAAGTGTGCTGAGGAGGCTGAGAGAGCTTCCAGACTAAGAAAGAAACCCATCCTTGGGAGGAAGGACAGTAAGGAAAAACTCCTTTCCTTGGAGAGAAGGGTAGTAGATCTGTGTCAGTATGAGCTGCAGCAGCTGGCAGACCTGGGGCTAGCAGGGACATCCTCTGGGCAGCAGCACTCACTGTCTTCATGGAAAAGCAGTGCAGAGGGCATAAGGGATGAAAGCAGTCCCTGTTCACGGCTATTACAGCCACACCATCTGTGTGCTAAACTTGGGCAGAAGCGTGCAGTGGAGCCAAACTACTCAGAGGAAGGATCTTTCTCCACTCCAACACACTGGAGTCGGGAGGATGGGTCTACCCCATCTAGATCCTCCCCTTTCTTCAGCCTGGCACTAAACAAGGTAGGTGCCAGGGCCACTGGCTCACAGACAGGGGTCTCACAAGGGCCAAAGCCCCTACCTGGATTTCATCTAGTCTGTAATGCCAGTGGGGGAGAGTGAGAACAGGCCCCCAGACCTCATGTTGTGGGTGCTTAATCACTAGAAGCTGCTCTCTTGTGGGTGCCACTCATGGCTGTGCTCCAGGTTGGGTATATCTTCCTGGAAGGAACCAGCTTCCCTTTAGCCCCAGGAGTTAGGAAGGCAGGAGCTGGTGCTGTTCTCCCCACTGCAGGCTTCCCAGGTGTTTGCAGGTTGGAGGCCCTCTAGGCTGCAGGACAGCAGGTGTGTGCAGGAGGCAGGCAGCTCTCTTGTCAGGAGGTGTTGGGATGCTCCCAGTGCTTTTTGTGTGCCCTGTGCCTGCCTGTCTTGGCGTGCTGGATCTTTGTATGATGGCTGTTTCAGATCTTTGTAAGCCTTCTTCTCTTTTCTCCAGCCTGCTTTGGGGCCATCGCCTCAATTTAGTAGGAGTCGCATTATCCCCTTTGCCTGGTCACTAGCGTCTGCTGTGTGTGTATTTGTGGGGGTAGGGGATGCAGTTGCTAGATAGTTCTGCGTGAATTAACCAATTGCCACGTGGGGTCAGGATGTAAGAAAAGAATGGATTGATGCTTTGCCTTTAGGGACAGGAGGATATATGCAGGTGGTAAGGGCCATTCTTTTAAAGTGTGAATTAATGAAGGAAGCAGCCCCATGATGTCTTAGGGCCAGGACTGGGGTGGCTTGCCTTCTGTAATATTGCTAGCAGCTCAACAACCTCATCCACAACTGTCTGTGGCATGGCCGCTCAGCCCAGAGCTGGCTGTGACTTAACGGACAATCTAAAGTGTGGCAGCACTTTGGTTTGTGCAGTGCTGTTGGTACCAAGCACCAAAAATAATCTATGGGCAGCTTGGACTTTGTAAGAATGGTCACAGTCTTGGGCTTTCACAGAAAATATGGTTGCTTCTCGTGCTAATTAAATCTCTCCCAGCTGTGCTGGCAGGCAGCAGCCATCTCGTGGGTTAACAGAGCGTGCAAAGGAATTGAGAATAGCTGAGTCGTGTGCTCTTGTCGCTGTGCTGTGTCTCTTTGTTCTGCAGGTCCCTGCTCCAGCCATTTCTGGGGATCTTGCCCAGAACATTAATTTCTTTCACAGGCTTTTCTGATCTTTGGTGTTTCTTCTGCTATCGCACAATAGTTACAGTGGCTGGTTTCAGCTCTGCAGAAAGAAACCCTTTTCACAGCACAATCTGGGAGATGTTAAACGGTAGACACATTTTTCAACTCCCAAATGATTCTCTCTCATTCTTTTTGTGGGGCTTCAAGGGTGTTGTGATTGCTGTGGTGACAATTTAATCCTCAATGTATGCTGG